CAGGAATGCACCCGGAAACGACATGGAACGATGCAGACGCTCCTTTTAAAGGCACAGGTGCATTTAACGTTGAATGCAAGGTGAACAGGCTATGAACAAAGAGATCAGGCAAAAAGCTGTCTGAGAATAATATTTGCTCCAGAAACTGTGTTTTCTTTTCATTAACCTCATCTTTCTCCCAGTAACAGTAAACGAGGCGTTGATTTCCTTCTTTATCGTGACAGAGGTTAATTGCTGTACTGGCGGGAAATTTAAAAACGTTAATGAAGCTAGCAGCCAATTTTAATTTTACGACAGTGAATCACCCTGAAAAATTAATAAACTTTATCGAGGCTATATGCTGCGTGTTTTATTTATCGCTTTTGTGTTGTTTACTTTTCTCTATACTACGTATTGATTATGTTACACCAGAAATTCCCCGCTCTTTTTGTCCCCGCTTTTTTCTTCCTTCTGTCATTCTCGCAGCCAGTTCGTCGTTACTCATCTACGAGATGTACTTACACATGTATACATAAATGACATATCTTGTTCAAGAAAAAAACTTCATTCATTTAATAGCAGCAAAAAAAGTAGTTATTGAAATAAAACAAGTAATTCTCGGTTGACCAGCTTTAACAACAAATAAAAACTAACCTTATCGACTCGATCAGAGAAGGAGGACTTGGTACATCCGATTTTCTCAAATTCAAATTAACGGAACATTCAAATAAAAGATTTGAATTTAATATTAAATTAAGTCACTAAATTGCCAGGTTAAATTATAATAGCTAAAAAAATAACGTTAAAATGATCATAAAACACCATAAGTCTGTCATAAATTCGCCTCAAATTAATTTATACCTCGAAATATACGAGTGATATTAGATACATAATTTAAATTTAATTTACATATGTAACTAAACGAAACGTGACCTGTATCTAATTTAAACTTCGACGCTATTTTGAGCTCCTTGCGGCGAACTTTTCCAAAAACCGTCTTAAAAATACCACAAACGAGTTATGTCCCTCTGGGTAGAAGAGGTTACCAACACGATTTATCTTACCGTCCCAGGAGTAACCGCTTCCGAGGACCGGTGAATTTTTAAGCATAGATTTGGACGACCCAAGAACAAAATTTACGCGGGTCACGTCTCTCGTTTCGCAAGCAGGATATCCATTTCGTTGCTCTCTGAGCTATGAGATGCCTCCATACCTTTTCGAACTTCGTCGATGGTGTTTAACTTCTGTTTCGATGTTGGTTTTCTTTCGATTTTATGATGCCTTGCCTCGGATATCTTTCCTCTGGGTAACATGGCAGTTCGAGTTTCACTGCACAGTACTTCTGCGTTCTCTTCGTGAGAATATTTGATCACGTGGATTATATTACTATTTTCTTGCAACTTTGGCAGTGACAAAATAGTGTGTAATAAATTATTTATAAATATATAGATGATATTCTGGGTAGAATTGAACTTAAGATGCTGAGTGGTTAAGAGAACGAGGGAACACTAGCGCCGCCAACCTAAAACTCCGCTGATGTAGTAGAACTGTACAAACATTTAATACCTTATTCCACTGTTCACAATTATCATCGCTACAAATTTTTGAAGTAATATTGAATTAGTATACCTGAATACTTAAATTTTGTCCATACTCGCATCTTCTAATACCTAACCTAATTTTCATCGATCATTTTCGAACAATATTATTGAAAATTCGAGACAAAAAAATAGGTGTAGAAGAAAATAATGAGTTTCAGAATAAAGAAATATGAAAAAGGAAAGCTATGATAAGCTCGTCTCTGAAAAGAAAGTGAAATTAATAAGCTCAACGTACTTCGGTGTATCCAGCTTCGTGGATGAATTATTCAAAGGGAGCGTGCAAGACACGTTGCTATGAAATGCCATAACTCGACTGATCTTGACCTCAGTCGCATATCAATTCCGGCCTTTGTGTATTCTTTCAAAAGCGACCCTCGCAATATCGCTTAGTAATCGACACGAACTCGAAAACGACCGAACATAACCTCACTTCTATTATAGCTCTCCAACTCCCTTTGCTTCCACTTCTCTCTTCCAATTTTTCTTTTATCTCTGAATGAAAAACAGCAAATTGAGGGAACTAACGCAACTTCAGCGCCATGTCTGAACCGTCTGGTAAAATGGAGAAGTTTGAAAAGGGTGAAGTGAACAAAAAATGGACGACGCTTCTGAGAAGAAGCTTTTGTTGCTCAATAAACACGTAGATGAATAATTCGAGCTTCTAGATTTTTGAAACTGCAATACCATTAAATTTTATAAATTGTTGAGTAAATTTTGTTAATGCTTTGTTATACAACTTCATCAGCCTCCATTAATTCTTCCTAACCTTCAAATCTTTATATAATTCTGCCTTCATTTAAATTGCACTCGAGTTTCACTCTAAGAAATATTCACTTTACTAGGATACTTAGAATTCATAAATTTCTTCTTAAGTGCCTGCTAACTGCTCGCATGATTCATAATTAAACGAGTTTCAATCCCATAAAGAAGCTACTAAGACGATTTGCCACAGTATTAATTATCCAAGAAGCGACATCTTATGAGATTTTCCTACAGAGAGAACTTCACAATTAGCATAATTATTAAGATATGGATCTTCCCTCTAACTTACTTACTCTATATAAACACATAAAAATTAATTCATTTTCTGGAAAATTACAAATTATTAACAATTACGAAATCATAAAAAGTAACTTTTTCGTTGAAGATTAATTTTCTTCCAATTGTTGTTTTAATATTAAAATTCCCTTTTTTCCATTTCTAATTTTCCTATTAACATCCGTTAGAATACTCATTCAATTAGTATTCATAAAATAAAAATAATTGCACGTTTCTGAAAATTATTTAATCAAAAGAAAAGTTCGTCCGAAGTTTACTAGGTTAACATAAAAATCCATTTTACAACTGTCTATACAGGTCGTTCCATTTATCACAGCCGCTCTAAGTGATGGTCTATGTTTTCCTATGAGACAAGAAAAAACATCTTGCTGGGGGTCTCCATATATCAAACGGAATCTTTGAAAGGTTGCCAAAACGTGAACAGCCTGTCTAAACTCTTGATCATCGATTTATATGATGGAAAAAAAATATCTATGAATTATGATGATAAAAAATTTCCCTGAAATCAAAATATTTTTCAAAAAATTCTTCTATATGTTACAACTGCAATAATATAACAACTAACGATAATATATATTCGATTAAATTTTAAAAAAGTTTATCAATATGTACTCTGATATATTCATATAGCTAAGTGATGAGGTTAGGATAACCTTATTTCTCAGCTATCAGACGAATAAAAGAAAGTATTACCTTCAAGAAAATAATTATCGACAACCGATAATAGAAGGACATTGTATCCCATACAGTTCTCACGATGATTTTCCTTGACACCAATTGAAACAGCCATTGAATCAAACATATTACGTAATATAATAGGACGCTGTCTACCCTTAGTTCCTAGGAATTTATTTTTACTGATAGTATGCAAAAACAAAACAAAAAAAATTTAACGAGTAAATTTTGGTATTTTGTTACAGTTGCAGTGGTAATAGCATTTTTTATTTGCTGGGCACCATTTCACGTGCAGCGGCTGATCGCCATCTACGGAACAAACCCCGACGATCACATAACCTCGAACAACAAGAGGATGGAGTTCCTTTATATCCTTATGACCTACATATCCGGTGTATTCTATTATGTGTCCACGACGATTAACCCAATTCTATACAACATCATGTCGAACAAATTTCGCGTGGCGTTCATGGTGAGTAATAATATCCTTCCTTGAGTACAACGATCTTCAAACAATTAGAAGTTTGTTCTGAGTTAATCTACTTGGACAGTCCCTTTATTGATATCCAATTACGTTATTTGTACTGACGAAACATTATTAGCTGGAACATCATATAAGCTGTAATTGAGTAGTAAGGACAACTCAGAAACATCGTTGAGCAATGATGAAATAAACTCGAAATAAATTAAAGAATAAATATCTGAAACAGTATTGATAAATATCGAGAAAAGATAATAGCTTTTATTCACTTTTTTGTATTTCTATTTCCCTATTTTCTTCAAAAGAATAATATTCATTAAACACAATAATAATAATAAAATCATATTACTCATCATACATTTAACAAACTCACCTAACCTATATGCACGTACATCGAGCACTCGAGTTTAACCAATTGAGTGATCACCTTCTGACCAGCCACCCATGTTCCAATATCTCTCCAACATTTCAGTAACATCACATTTGAATAGGTATACAGTTTCTCAGTCACGAGACATTATTTTGTTTTCACAGGAAACACTATCAAGGAGCTGTAGAATCCCAGGACTGGCAATTCGCAACGAACAACGTTCCTACTCGAGTCTTTCTCGATCTCAGCAAAGAGTGGTTAGTGGATCGAGAATCGTGGGCACAGCTGGAACAGGAATTGTTCACGAAAGCATCGATTATTCTGGCAACTCTGGGCACGAGGGCAGCCTAAAGCAGACTACGTCACTGGTCGACCAGCTGGAGGTGGGTTCGACGCGAACTGTCATCAAGAAGAAAAACAACGAAGATATCAAGAGGTTAAAGCCTCTACCCAAGGAGGTTAAACACAAAGGTGACGTTTATTCGAAGGGTTCGAGAAAAGTGAGATCGCCTAGATACGCTACTGTGAAACTATCGAATGTGGACGAGTCCGGGAAGAAGTGGTGGCGTGTGCTAAAGTGGTTTCCTGGTTTGAAATCTTTGAAACTCGCCCGTAGAAATACATACACTATTCCAGAAAATGGTAGTGTGAGAAGGCCGGAGCTCGTACGAGAAGAGATTTCAATGGCTACGTGGAATGAAAACGATGAACAGCGACCTGTTTGAAATAGAGTTTCGAAGGACGGTAAAATGGCTTAAAATGAAATCTCGAAGTAACGAACGACGGTGACGAAGTATATTGAGGTTAGATTGGGAGCTGAATGTTCCTGTTGGTGATGGGGTTAGGAACAGTTTGACTGTTTCTGTTTAAATCTTATAGTGCAATTGACAGCTGTGAGATTAAGTTTTGTATAAATGATTGAAGAATGATGAATAAGGTTAATTAAACTTTGTGCAACACTGAGAATATGCTCCTTTGATATTGTACGATCAAGTGGAACTTTCAAATGAGATGAATTTTGAAGAAAGAAAGTGAAATCCTCTGTTAGAAATACAGTATGAATGAATTTTGCATAACAATGTTGGCGTATTATATCATAAAGTACAAAAATAGCATCAGCTCAGTTAATTTCCGATAAAAATTGAGTCCTTGCAATCTTTGTACCAGACTTTGTCCTGAAATGTCTCTAAAAGCCTGTAGTTGTATTTTATAAAAATTAATCAATTAAGAAAACATACGAACCTCTCTTGCTTGAGCGTGAAAATGTGTTTTTTAAAATAAAATTATTTCAATTAATCACTGAGCTAACAGAGTAGACGATGCGAACTCGTTAATCCGGACGAATCATGAGCTCGTCGTCGTTTACAAATTTTATCCGAGTGATTCGACAGTTTAGTCCGGACTGCTTCGAACGTCAAAAAGACTGATCCTTGTTAACTAGACTTTTCACGGAGATCACGTAATGTCGCCATCTTGAATGTATTCCCCGTTGGTCGATAATTGACCTATAGAAGCTTTCTAGGTGTTCTGCAATGTCGACCCTAGGTAAATCTTATGCAATGAGGAATAAACGTTTATTATTTTTTTATAATATGAAATAAAAGAATCTTAACTCTTGAGGATCAATGAACGTTCGCTTCTTTTACTTTAACATTAAACTATATCTAATTCTCCATGTCACCATTTTTCTTCTTGCTTATTTTTGTAGTTCATTTATTTTTATATGATACTACTAATTTTCAAGAAAAAATTGTATACCTACGTATATATCTTTATATAACATAGAATAATATTTAAATAGCATAGGAAGTAAGTATATAAGACGAATGACAATGACATCATCGCCATATTAAAATAAGCTGCTCGTTTATCGGTCCCATTTGAATCTTAAGAATGTGATATATTATTTATTGTGCAATTATTAGAAGTGTACATTTTCCGTACGTTATGAGCTCGAAAATAGTCAGCTCCTTAGTTTTACCATATGTATCTTCTTTGTTTTATTTGGAAGTCCATGTATTTTCAGTAATAATATTTTTGATAATTACAAAATACAGTTGTACTTCATTTTAAATCCTCTATGAAAAAGGTAATGTTATGATCAAAATAAAATAAATATAATTTTGATAAATAATTTTAGCATTATTTAAATTAGTTATAATTAAATGATATTTATTTGAAATTTAAGTCATCAGTACCGATTTGCATTTACCTACAGCAATCTATTTTGTCTTAAAATATTTTTATATATTGAAATTTTTCTCAAGTAAGTAAAATATTTTTTGAATATATTATGTATTATTGTATAAAAAATGTATTAAAATTAATAAATAAATTGAATGTTCTCAAAAATAATAAAAATTATATAAAAATTAAATTTCACTCCATTAAAAGACGAATGCTTGGCCATCTGGTGACAACCTAATGAAACATAAAAGGACAGCTACTTACTATCGCATCTACAAAGTGTGTACCAATGACTAAATATGTCAATACAGACAGGAATTCTAAACAATCAAAGTTACATAAATAATCAGAAAAATCATTGAATAGCTGCATTTTTAATTGTATTAAAAATGCCTCCGAAACCTAAAGTGGTATAAATATATTTCTTTCCTTTTCTATAATGTATTTAAAAAGCAGACACCTGATTCGTTAATTCTAACCTACACTATATTATAACCAACAATGATAACAATGTTTAATTTATAATAAATAAAAATTTCAGAATACAAAGCTGTCAGTTGCAAACAAAAGAAGTACAGAATTACCAGAAGCTGGAAATTCAGGAAATACTGCTCCAAGAACTGATAGTGGCCTGAGCCAAGAAGCCGAAGATCAATTTGAATTAGAATTATGCTGGTGTATTCAACACTTAGAAATGTGTTTAGCTACTGGGAAACTTCCTGACAAACAAGTCCATGATTTAAAGAGAAATATAAATATTCTGAAAAGTAATAATGCATCTCTGATAAAGAAAAGGCAAATAATGCGTAATACATTAGGAAATTATAGAGAAAAAATGGCTTTGGATGAGCAGAAGTTTAGCAAAACTGCATCTTCTGTCAAATTTATATCTCCACCCACTCAGAATAAAAAGTATACATTTATAAAGAAAGCTGCTGCTCCTACATCTACAAAGGAAATACAACTTGCAAAAAGTGTCATCCCTCCTTTGAATTCTAGTGAAAATACAACCGATAATGATAATATACAGTCTGTATTTAAATTTAATTTTCAAATTCAGGAAGAAACAAATCTTTTGTAACTATGTAAAAGACTGATTATTGTTTTTATTACAACTGACAGATTATGATTTCCATTTTTTATAATTCCTAAACTCCTGTCTATTTTTATTATGTTCATTAAAATTTTACAACTAAAAACTAGAAATAATGTTAAAAATGACTATTATTAAAACTTGTGCAACAATTTCACAAATTTATGTTTGTCTATTTTATTTTAAATATAATTTTGTTTGTTGCAACATAATTAAAATTCAATTAAAAGGATATGAAGAAAAGAAAATATATTATTTTTATAAATTGTAGTTTATATTTTATGTACTATTCTTAAGCAGTATAGTGGTCCTGTGGCGCAACGGATAACGCGTCTGACTACGGATCAGAAGATTCCAGGTTCGAATCCTGGCAGGATCGATTCGAAGTTTTTTTTCTATAAACACAAATTTTAATTAATCAAGTCTATGAAAAAGAAAGGATGAATTCTTATCAATCCAATTACAAATATACAACAAAATAATTAAATTCAAGCAAAAGTGTTTAAAAAGAAATGGAGATTCAAAATAGAAATGACAACAAAATCTTCCCAATTGAATACTTCCATTGAAAACAAGAAACCAGGAGCAAGTAATTAGAAAAGATAAAGGTAAAAAAACTAACAGAAGGCACACGTCAAAAAATACACTGAAAAGACCTCCATCTTAAAAACTAGGGATATGTTGTACGAAGCGAGTAAAAAATTCGTTATGTAAATAAATATTATGTTATGATATATTTAACAACCAGTAGTAACAAAGGTATCTCGTCTCTCTTACGTACTTATAGCAACAGAACAGCACTCTTTATCGTATGGTACAAGCTTGAATCCGTATATAACTATATATAATATATGCATATAGGATGTCTCAAAAGTCTATCGCACAATTTTATATATCCATCGATAATGAAAAATCCTGATCAAAACAACGAGCAATACGAACACATGTGGCCGAAGAATTATTCGGTCTTTCTTTTACGGAAAACCATAATACGTAACAGAAAAAAAAAAACGAAACTCTGCTAGAGATAGCAGCCTATCGTTCGAACCGAACGGAAACACTATACTATCTTTACAATAAACATCAGTGTAAACATAACGAACGCGACCATATCGATATGAACGATTCGATTAATTTCGAATTATCAAAAGAATGCACTAGACTCTTACGACGCCCTGTATAAATATACATATTTTCCAAAGGATCATGTTCTTCTTGTTCTTCCTCTTCTTCTTTGTTAATTATTTTTAATAACGTAACAGTGATATATGTATCTAGAAAAAATCAGTTCCTCCTGGGCACAGTCCAACTGATTCCAACTTATTAAAGACTCAATAATGACTCGTACGATCCCTAAATAGAAATATCCTCTTATTAAAGAAATATGATCTTCTAATATAGTCTTATATTAAATATATATAATATATAATTCTTTATATATCTGTTCCTTTCAAATTTAAATATCTCTTTCTTTCATTTTTTTTTTTTTCTTTTTTTGTCTTCGTTATATGATTAACTGTTACGCCCGAAATCACACACGATTCAGCAATTACACGCCTTACGATATCTCGACAAGGTTAAGTTTCTTTTTTCTTTGTATTTTTACTTTTATTTTTGTGACTTTTTTTCAACTTTTTAACATTTTTTTTTTTGGTCTTTGCAGAGCGATTTTGCTTCGGTCGTCTTTGGTAGAAGCACGCGTTTCCCTTCAACGTGGAACGCTCTCATCCTCTCCGTAATCGATTTTTTTAGAGAATTTTTTTCCTCGGTTGCGTCTCTCTGTTCCCTGAGTCCGTGTACAACCATTTCAGTCTTCGCCGTCCCTCTTTCGTCACCTTTCGTTTCTTTCGCATTTTTTTTTCCTTTTTTCTTTTTTTAATGTCACACTTTTTTCACAGCAGTCGACACCCTCCTTTCCTTTAAGCCTCCAGCTTAAACGCTAATTCGATACATCGTGACTCGTGGATATGTTCGTTACCCGATTCAAGAAATAATCGAAAATTCAAGTTTGCTTCGTAAAATAACGTGAAACTAACGGTTGGAAGCTATTTAAAGAAGTTATTCGTTGCTTTTGAAATGGAAGATGTAACGGTCTTGGAAGAATTGACGAAAATCTGGAACGAATCTTAGTATAAAAAATAAAATTATAAATGATTGACGTTAAAAATTTGTACCAGCTGATTCTACGTAACAAAATGAATAAAAAATATAGAGGAAGATTTTCAAGTACGAGGCTCCATTTCCGAGTAAATTAATTTTGAACATACGTGGGGTATGCACTCGAATTTTCTATATGCCCTTCTATTAAATATTAAAATTTGTTGGTTTTCCGTCCGTCGTGTCTCGCAAGTTTTTAAAGGTATTGTTGAATAAGGAATATACGAACTTTCAAGAAAACATTGGTCGGTAAACTAGGTGCAGCCCCCACGTACTTTCCAGCTCGAATTTCTCGAGAACGACAACTCGTACGTAAAAATTTCACTGCGCACTTTCGATTCGCTTTTCTACGCAGAATCGTTTGCTCGAGTTTCCCTGCCTTCGTGATTAAATTTGAACAAGTATCTCGTCTCGAACGTATTCACAAGTCACCGCGTAACTAATCGTTGCATAATAAAAACACTGAAATCTAAGAAACTATCGCGCATTGAAGAGCCAACTTTCTTTCCTGTCTTAACGGTACATATATTTCAACTCATCGCTGCAGAACTGACCGAAACAACATAACAACATCGTCTGAACAAAATATCGCTAATAGAATCAATCTGGTGCAACGGTAATCGTTCTAACTTTTAAAATTCATAATAAATTCAATTATTCTGCGAGGCAGCGAAGAGTTAAATAAAACCGTATCGAAGTCTCTATGAAAATAAATCTCAACACGATCTTACTTTCAATGTCTCTCACTCTCTCTCTCTCTCCCTCTTTTTCTAACAAAGTGCAACTGTTTTCAACTCGCTTATCTCTCTACAAACATTTCGATGCTCCGTTTGTTAATACAATTAGCACGCTTACGATTGTTTCATTGTTCACAAGAAAAAAAAAAAAAAAAAAAACAAAAAGAACAAAAAATAAGAAAAAGAAAGAAAAAAAGAAAAAAAAAATTAATACGTGAAACATATTCGCACGAAACGAAGGAATCGCAAGGAAACACGTGCGATACATTATCATTACAATACTCGATGACCTTGATCGACTCTATCTTCTAACATCCTATATAGAATGTACACGTGTATATGATTTTGTGTGTCCACCGTGTGTATAAGTATATTTATATATATATAATATGTTTATAATTAATAATAATAATCGACGTGTACACCACAATACGTTTACTCATCTCCCGGTACAATAACTTCGTGGGTACACACGCCCACGTTTAAACATTTTTCCCACATCCTCCTATATTCTTTTTAATTACGTTTATTCCGAATGAGTCGAGTTTCCTTTTTCGTTTTCCAAATTCGTTACTCCATCGTTCGAAACGCGTAAACACCACACTCGCACACGCCTTATAAATCGTCTTTCTGAGGCACATTTTCTATGCGTGATTTTCAAGAATCGGCATTTTTTTTTTCTTTTTCTTTTTTTTCACAAAGTCGTTCAATTTTTTTTCTTTTTTCTCTCCACGCTTTCCCCCTTCGTCTGCTTTTCCCATTCTCCCGTCCTTCAGCTTCGGATCTAAGATCAGGGGGTCGGAGCGAGGAGTATCAGGAGGTCGGAACGAGGAGGATCACGGAAAGCCGACGATTCGACGAAACGATCATGCACTTCGACGACTCATACTATTTTTTTTTTTTCTTCTTTTTGCATTTTCGTTACACATCTTTTTGCTTTTGTTTTTACACGGTTGATCACAGACAACGCGAAGAAAGAAAACGAATCGGAGGGAAGCGACCACGTGGGATCGTTCCGTCGATCTTTCGTCGCGTTTCGAAGGAGAATCGTGTTTTTCTGTACAAATCGACCAAGTCGACGTTCCCCCGCGACGAGAACGTTTCTGAATTAATTCTGAGAATTTATTATGTACACAATATCGACGCGGAGAAGCTGGTCAGATATAGTATTCGTGATAGAAAACGAATAACCATTTGGAAAATCTAATATAAAGTAAATGTCGATACAAAGACTATTATAAAATAGTTAAGAATAATAAAAGTCTACACGTTTGGTTTCGAAGCTTCCCTAACAGGACAGATAGCAATCGTGATCTGAGAACGACGAATGCTCGGTAAAATCTTTTAGGTTAGATTCCGGTGGCTTTTTTAAAAAAGAAGAAAATGAGGAACACGTATTCGTTATTTTCTACTTAAAATACTATTTTCCGCAGCTCCGTTCGATGATACGTAACCCTAAGCATGGCATAAAATTAAACGTATCTACAATAATTTAAAGATTGCGATAAGGAACAATGTCGTTCGGGGACGCGAGTTTGAGTCCGGCATGAGTCCGTCGAAGTATCTTAAATGTACTCGTGATACATTCCAAACCTACCCTATACTCCCAAATTCCCTATTATACCACAAAGTTCAATAAAACAGGGGGTTAAGTGACTATAAAAACACTGAACGCCTCGTAAAATAATTCGCCTCCGCCATATTGCTTTATACAGTTCGCATAACCTCAACATCCAACTGACGCTACCTAACCCGTTAGGTAATGGGCCAGATAATGAACTTAAATTCTCCTTTGCTAAGTTACATTGTCTTAGCAATAAAAAAAAAAAAAGAAAAAAAATAGAACATGCATCACTTTCGTGGCTTGTACAAACTCTGAACGGTCCCCGAACGAAGTCCCGGAAATAGGAATGACGCAATGTGTGTTGCCCGAATCGGTCGAGCTTCGAAGGCAGCCAACGTTACAACATCACGTGAAATGCATACATATACATAGGAGAGATACGAGGAGAAGGTGGCGCGAGTTTGATCTACTCCACGGTAATGGTAGCCAGCCTCTTGGGCCGTTTGCCTGCCTTCTGTTTCCGATGGATCTCCCTGAAGTCCACATGACTTGTCTCGCAGGACTCTATCACCGCTAAATCGTCCCCGTTCACGGTCTGCTCTTCCAGCTTCCTTTTCCTGGACCTTGTCACCGGACCAATCCTATTTTTATACATCTCGTTACATTCCACGTGCCTTTTATGCCTCTTCGACTTGGTCTCCTCGTCCTCGTCCCGTTTACGCCGCTTCTTAGACGACTCCTGCTGTATGATTCTCGGCGAGTTCGAGTCAGAGGAAGAAGACAAAGAGCTGAGGTACTCGTTCACTTTGTCCTCGCCAAAGTCGAAGGCGCTCGGCTGCGCAGGTGATGCAGAGGATGCGAGGTTAGTGGCGGCACTAGGGGGTCGGAGAAGTTGTACAGAAGGACTGGAAGAAGTGGTAGACGCAGACGATGACACGGAACTAGAGGTGGAGCGCTTGTGCAACTTTCTGCGTTGTGCAAGCCTGGCGCCATCTACTTCGCGTAACCGGAAGCCCTCTGGCTTCTCCTGCGTGGCATTGGCGTTATCCAGCGTGACTACGTCGGACGAAGTAGTCAAGTCGAATGAAGTAGTCATGTCAAACGAACTAGACTCGTTTAGCCAAGGATGATTCGCCAAGCCACTGGCTGTCAGTCTTTTGCTTGGGTCCACGGTTAGCAAGCCTTTGGCGACCTGTTTGGCGAAATTAGACACGTGACTCCAGGACTCGCTGTCGAAATCGATCTCACCTGCCCTGATTCTGGTTGCCAGGTCCGGCGAGCCTGTTCTGAACGGAGGCTTGCCGGACAGCACGGAATACAAGATGGCGCCCAAGCTCCAGAGATCGCAACTCTGATCGTAGCCTTGCCTGGCAACCACCTCTGGAGCCGCATATGGAAGAGTGAAACACGGGGTGTGCAGAGGCTCGCAACCACGTTTTATCCTGGCGAAACCGAAGTCCACGATCTTCACCGGCGAGTCCTCTCCTTCGTGGGCGAATACTATATTTTCTGGCTTAAGGTCCCGATGGACCACGCCCCTAGTGTGCATGAAACGCACTGCGGAAGCGAGCTGTCGCATTATTCTACTAGCCTGCTGCTCATTGAAGGGCCTCGGCCTCCTCAATAGCTCTCCTCCGGATAACAGTTCCATTACCAAGTACGTGTGCGCTCTGTCCTGATGGACTTCGATTAGTTTGACTACATTCGGGTGACCCTGACAAGTTCTCAACAAGCTAGCCTCCCTTCCACAGTCGATCCTGCGACTGACTATCTTCACAGCGAACTCCTCCAATGTTTTCCTGTGCCTGCACTTGCGACACACTGAGAAGCTACCGTCCCCTAAAGCCTCCTCCCGAGGGTCTAACTCGTAAGTCTGGAAAAACGTGGACTCCTCGAACCTGGCTGCTAAAACGTCCGATGCTGAAGGTCTCTGACACTCCGTGTTGGCTTTCGTGGCTTCCTTGAAAATGTCTTTACTGACCACGTTGTCTCCGAACAGTATAGACGGCGCCACATAGGAGTAACCTCTAAATATCTTGTCATGGTTGGGAGGAACCACAGCTGGACTGTCAGCTGCGATCATTTTCGTGAACTCGTCGGAGAAGTTGCTGGTGTCCAGTTCATGGGTGATGCGGGGAACGAACGGTGGCGGGATTTCGCGTCTTTCCAGGGCATCCCAGCTGAACGGTGATGGCGCTTTCTTGAAGAAAGAGTGCTCCTTAAGCTCTTTGGCGTCACCTGGTCCTCCGCCGAGTCGCTGTCGCGGGTCTTTCACGAGCAGACGCAGGATGAAGTCTCGAACGATCGGACTGAGATGATTAGGAATTGGTGGATCCGTTTTCAGTATCCGGCGCGAGATGTCCTGTTGCGTGTTCTTCTCGCCCTCGACCGTAAAAGGCGAAGCACCAGACAGCAGCTCGTACGTGAGCACGCCCACGCTCCACCAGTCCACCGCCTGGAAATCGACCATCATTAAATATTTAGCATCGAAAATTATGTAGCTAGATTATTCTTGGAACTTGGGTTGTAGACTAAACGCGTATTACGTTTGAAACGACTTGGACTTTGGGTGCTTGGCGTAAACGGTAAAAGTTCGTTCAAGTTTCTACCGGGTGTTTCAAACTTGTTTCAAACTTCGAGAACTGACGATAAAGTGAATGGTAGCGATCGTTAAACTGCAAGACGTTAAAATATCAAGGTTCACTGACGATGAGTCATACTTTCAGTATCTCTCTCTCACATTGGTTTCATTCAACAGCTCTCACATTGGTTTCATTCAACACAGGTCGATACTCCAATTTTGAAACGCTTTGTATACAATAAGGACAAAATACAAACAGACACATTCTTGTTACAATTTTCTCACAACCGCTAGATTAACGATCAACAGCCAATCAGGACAGGTCGATGCTCCAATTTTGAAACGCTCTGTATAAAATAAGGGTACAAACAGACGCCTTCGAGTCACAATTCTCTCACTTTCTCGGGATCCAATGTCGTCGAGGTATTCGTTAGTTTCATTTTTTTTTCCTTTTTTCCGTTTCGATAGAGAAATGGAGAGAAAGAGGAAAGTGGCCTTTTTTTCGAAGAACTGAGGAGGAAAGAATAACGAATCGATAAAAATGTATCTGACAAGCGGGGAATACGGGCGCGATAACGAAGTTCCAGGAACGAAGGGAACAAATCGTGACGTAAATTCATCCTGACTCACAATATCGTGTCCCGCTGAGCCCCCTCGTACCACTTCCGGTGCCATGTACTCGATAGTTCCGCAAAAGGAGTAAGCACGGGCGTTGCTGTCCCTTTCGTGCGGCAGGAACTCTTTGCTCAACCCAAAATCTGTTAACACGATATGACCCTCTTTGTCCAACAGAATGTTCTCTAGCTTAATGTCCCTGTAAATTATACCCAGCTGCAACAGAAAATGCAACATTGTGTGTTTCGTCGATTAGCATGCTAGATAAGAACGGAATATTTGAATAATTTATCCGGCAAACGGTGCGACCAAGCAATATTCGCAACAGAGTGCATGTAGGATTATGAGCACGAAAATTATATCCCCGCCTTTTATGCGATTTACAAAATAATAATTGAGATTGAATTATGAATAGGATAATGGGGTAGAAAGTAGAAAATGGACGGATGTAGGTTAGATACCAGGCTCAATTAGGTGGTCACGAGCAGAATGAAAAGGGTACCTAATTGCTTCATTTTTTCTAATTACCTTCGAGCTGCAATAATGAATTTTCAAGCACACTCTGATGACTGGGATTACTATAAATCCAAGTTTAATTAAGCTGAGTGTTTGCTCAACTTCATTAGAAAGGACTTGTTCGCTTCTACGTACATTAAAACGTATAGTTTCAAGGTGAAGGTTCTACAGTCCAGGAATAAAGTGGTTACAAAAGTATCGTGCAATATCTATGTGATATATAATATATAACAATCTATGTAGTAACTTGTAAATTGTCAAAAAGAGAGCTTTCGAGGTACAGGTTTAACCCTTTGCACTCCTACGTCGAGTGTGACTCGACATAAATTTTGATCACAGGAACTCCTATGTCGAGTTACACTCCACATTCTTTCATTCCTTATTTACTGAACAAAAAAACAGAAAATAGGTAACTACTTGAATTACTTAAATTCTAGATACAAAGTACAACAATGTTTGAGAGCTATATTTAATATAGTCGGTAAACAAAATTCTTTAAAATAAGTAGGTGTAATAAGTACCTGCCATGTGAAGCAAAGGAGTGTTAAGCTTGTGTATGACACAAAGATACTAAACTATAGGTTTCCACGTTTCATATCTAAGTCCATTAAACTTCCTAAAATTACAGGCTTCATGAACATACAGTCAGTCGCAAAAGTATTCAAACAGCTTGAAATGCCAAATATTTAACAAAGAAAATGCACTCTAGTTTCTAACATAATCTACCTGAAGTAAAATACAACTGTTGTTACTCTATAACAATACTTGACTAAGCCTAAACCTCTGCTATAATTGCACTCCTTATATCATTACTCCTATCAATAAACAATAAATTCGATATTTCATAGATATCATATTCGTCGTTTAACAATTCCACAATTTCACCTGCTCATTTCCAAGACTCATAGGTCACCTTACACGCAGCATTCATTTCCAAAATTGCATTACCATTTCCGAACAATCGAGCAAGTTTCATTAAAAAATTTCCAACCCAAGCTGCTCGAATATTTTCGTTGAAAGAATCGCGTTAGGATTTCCAAAGCGACAGGGTCTTCCGATTATTTTCAACGACGCAAAATGGCGCATGGGAACGACATTTACTTTGTGTAGATGCTCCAGTGCCAAAATAACTTCGCCGATATAGATTCGCACTTCGTCCTCGGTGAAGTGTTCCCGTTGATACAGATGCGTAAACAACTCGCCTCCGCTGACATAATCTGCAAAAATGCGAAGCATGCGTTTAATTTCGGGTTGAATAGCGTCCTTAGGGGCGAGAAGATTCGAGAATCTCGGTACGAGAGACCCCTCTTTCCCGAATCTTCCGCGGCCATCTTGGAATGGCCGTTTGAAAGGAACACGAGCGCAGAAGGGACAGGGTACGGAGGAAAAGAGAAAAAGGGAAATAGAGTAATTGTTTCTAGAACCGGTGGAATGTATAACGATACTTTTTCCCCTCTATTTACCTTCTCTGGCACTCGTCAACGAGATATTGGGCTGGAAGGTATGAAATATTCATTGATGAAGCGGCTGCGTGCAGGATTTGGGATTCAATCGTGTTCTTTGGCGAATGGGAAAGGTCTGAAGTATTTTTGGATATTTTAATAACCACTGATGGTTCACTTCTGACAGCCTTCTTACTTGACCCAGAATATTCCCATTGTCCTCTTAGAGCAGTTATTATAAAATTACAAATTAAAATAAATCCTGACCATTTGCTTATTCCTTTGATTCGGGCATTGTGGAATAATGTATAAGCAATAAATAACGGGACAAAAATTTAATTACTTATTAATTCTGATATATCGAGGATGCATACTAATTTGAAAGAAGAGGTTGGAAGGAAAATTCAGATATCAGTCGTTCACTGCACAAATTGATTAATTCCTTAAAACAAAAAGAGGAGAAATGCAATGAAATAATATAGTCATAATTATACCGAGTGCTTTGACACTTAAATTTAAGATTTTTCAAAAACTGGACTTAATCGATTTGTACAGTGAACGGCTCGTGTATCGGGTAAAATGAAAAAGTAAATTAATAGCTTGGGCAATTTGAAGTAGAATAAAAATTGATTTAGAAATTTCGCAAGGAATCGCGAATTTTTAGTTTCGAAATTGCGAATGGGCATTGTAAGCGTAATTATAGACAGGAGTTTGTCGATTTTTGTTAGATTAGTTAGATAATACGGAAAATTGTATTTAATCTTTTGAAACGGTGGTCGACTCGCGTGTTACGAAAGAAAAAATAATTCGCGTATTGCGATAGCTTCTAAAGAGAAATAATTGAGGAAGAAACGAAATCGCGAAATGATTATATGCTTCTACGAGGGAGAAACGTTGCACAACGTTACACGGGCGACTCGACGATGATGTCACGATTGCATCGTATTTTGAAAACCACCTTGACCATACGTTTCCTCGCCGCGGATTTTTGCAAAACACGATATAGCCGTGCACACGCAGGGAACGGGACTGAAATTCAGCGAGATACAACGGTCGTGGAAAATTTGTTCGGATTCTGCTGTCTAGTGTAGCACGTGGAAAAGGATTTGTTAATTGGTTCAATAAATCGTATGTTTTCTAGCCACTTTGCAGCAAATATTCCTCGATATATGTATCGACGTCGCTAATTTCTATTTTTTTTTTTTTTTCTTTTTTTTCCACTAAACGTTATTTTCTCCCAAGTTTTTCACCGTCTGCTGTTGTTTACGAACGCTACATAAAATTTCTTACTTAATATATTAATACACAACTTGGAATATTCCGACATTCTATATATGGTTTCTAAAATTGTATAACTCGGAAATTTTATTTATACAGTGAAATAAAAACACAAAAATGGTGAAATCCTGCACTGAGCCGAGGTAAGGGAAACTTGAAACAATAGGGAAAATAATTTAAAAAAAAAATAAAATCAAAAAATTGTGGAGGGAAAATTGTCCAAGTGTCTTGTTTCATAATATATAGAATAAGGAGTCAGGTTGAATATTCTTCCAAGTTTCTCACCGTCTGTTACTGTTTACAAACGCCACATCAAATTTCTTATTTAATATATTAATACACAACTTCGAATATTTCGGAATTCTTGATTTATGGTTTCTAAAATTGATAAAATTTCTAAAATTGCATAACTCGGAAATTATTTATACAGTGAAAAAAACACAAAAATGGTAAAATCCTGCACTCAGCCGAGGTAAAGAAAAATTAAAACAGTAGGGAAAATAATAAAATAAAATAAAATAAAAAAAATTGTGGAGGAAAAATGATCCAAATGTCTGTTGTTTCATAATACGTGGATTAAGGAGCCAGGTTGAAGCACCTACCGAACCCAAAGAACGATCTCTCTGGCGAAAAATATCGGAGCGATCGTTCCTCGAATTGCATTGAATTCAACAATCATCTAGAGATTTCACCTAAAATCAGATGCAGCTTGGCATCCGTTTGAAAGGCGTAATGCAGCGTAACTAAAAAAGGACTGTCCCGAACGGCCTCCAGAACTTGTCTCTCCGTCTTCGTGTGCTCGGTCGTCTTCTTTCTTTGCACGATGGACGCTTTCTTCAGGACTTTCATGGCGTAGAGGCGGCCGGCGTCTGTGCCCGTTCTCTTACGCACCAGGAACACCTTTCCGTAAGCTGCACAAAAGTTGTTCTTTTTTTTTTTTTTTTTTTTTTTTTTTTTGGTTTTTTTTTTTTTTTTTTTTTTATTTCATATCGTGTTCTCGATACGATTCTTAAAACGATTAAACACGTTCCCTCTGGATCGTTAATCGAACGCGAATTCCGCGGGGTTCCGCTCGTGAAGCGGCCATTTTAACGTGGACGGCGTCTATTGTTGAGAAATTTCAATGGGAAACCGCCTTCGTGTATCCTTGGTTCGGATATACGGGGTGTCGATAAACTGTTGACGTAAAAGAAAAAGAAAACTATTGAATTTGGATTTTTAGATTGACGGCTGATATCTGTGAGGTTATGCTAGGGGAAATGGCAGACGTTCGCTCGACGCTGTATTGGGTATTTCATATGTGGTTTTAGGTTAGGTTCGATGTTTCCAGCGTAGACGTTATGAAGTATGGTAAGAGATGACGAGACTTTCATTCGAATTATGTTTTATATGTATATTATAAGGACTTTCAGAGGTTAGAAATTGTAACTAGAACTGATATTGAAAGGGAAATATCTAGGGGAAAAATGGCAGAGGTACAGATTTGTTTAATACGTGAATTATTTATTACAAAGTAAACTTTGTAAGTAGGTAATTCCTAAAGTATGTTAAAAGGAAGATGGTTAGATTCATACACTATAGAAAGCTTCAAAAGTTAGGTTATAGTCAAAAATGTTTAAAGGTTAGGTAATTTCTAGAATCTGTTAAGGAGAATGACAGAAGCTTGTTCAATATTACACACACTGTCTCAAAAGTGTTTTCAGGTTAGGTTCGCTGTTTGGAATGTAAAGACCTATAGATAAATGACTCATAAGTGTGTTAAAGAGGATGATGAAGCTTCGGTAAAAATTCTACAGGGTGTTCCAATAACAATAAATCTCTTACATTCAAATTTCAATTCTCCAATCGACAATTAACAAGTCCACTCGCTAGATCACCCAAGATACGAAATTATCAAACCCAAAATCCATAAATCCCACCAAAAAAACCCTCAAAAAAATTACAAACTGAAAATTTCAGGCATCTCTAGTATTTTCAATATATATTATCTAAATTTCCAACGACCAATAAAAATATCCGAGCCCATCGAATTAACACTCCACCCTCTTCTCCGTTCACATATCCAAATATACCACGATCTTATTGAAACACCCTGTAGATCGCGACAGCCACTCCCATCCCGCGTCTCTCTGAAAAACTCAAATTCAACTCTCGCAGTATCATTTTGCCACATTTTATCGATCCTCGCATTCCACGCTTCCTTCAACCCCTAAGCAGCGCGATTTCATGGCCACTCCGGAGTGCGGTGGAGAAAAACGCAAAATGGCCGAGGAGAAAACGAGAATCGGCCAAAACGGTGCACGGAACACGTCCCATTTCGCGAAACCGGCAAAGATAAATAAACGTTCGCTTATTTCCACGTGTTTATCGCGCGTCCGTGGAGGTGGGGGCAAAGATTCAGCAAATGGCGTCGCGACGACGCGGGAACGACCGTTAATGGGAAATTTGAACGGCAAGTCGAAACGCGAAAAGCTTGAAGGGAAAGGGACCCCCCCCCCCGCGGTCGACCGTTTCGCTTAATCGCTATCATAAAGGATTTCGTTCACGTACCTCCGGTTCCAAGGACCTTCAGCAGATCGAAGTGCGTCATGTCTACCCTCTGGCCTCCGCTGTCTGCCAGGTTTACTGTAATCAGCAAGAAAGAAGGTTTTACTTCCGCTCCTTCGATCACGCGTCTTTGATTTACGTTATGATAGATTTCTTTTGCTGCTTACCAATCTGATGTAACGGCGATGAAGGTTAAGACCGATTCAGGGGAAATGGGAAATGGAGAACGTGGGTTGAGGATGGAAAGTCAGAGATTGTACGGGCTGAAAGGTGGCAAGGTTGTTTTCTTCATTGATTTTGCGTGGAATATTATACTACACGGGAATTTGAAGCTTCCGGGGCGATACTTGGTTTTTAGGTTATGATTCGTGATTGAGGTTATGTATCGTTGGGCTACCATTTGTCGAAATATAATAATTGAATTAAATTATGTGTATATGTAGCGCGATATTTATATTTTAGGTTATGGTTAGTAATTGAGGTTATGTATCGTTGGATTACCATTTGCCGAAATATGATAACTTAAGTAAATTATGTATATATATAGGACGATATTTAGATTTTAGGTTACGGTCAATTATTGAGGTTATGTATCGTTGGCCTACCATTTGTTGAAATATGATAATTGAATTAAATTATGTATATATACGTATAAATTTATATAATAAAGAGCAAAACTGAAGCTATACTACGTTAATATTCGAGCAGCAATAGCCTTGCGAGCAGAAATCGTACAATAATATTTGTGGGGCCGATGTAAAGGGCAAAGGCTGTACTTTCACGCCCCGAGAATTTAATTCCTACTTAGACGTTTTTACAGTAGAAAACAAAGACAGTTTCTTACTTAAAAAATTGTAAAAATTCAAACGCAGGTAATTTCCCTAAAAATCTTTTTTCGAAATCTAAATAATCACAAATTTTATATTTGGTCGAATTAAAAAAATAAATTTTCCAACAACCATAAATTTTATGGTAGAAAACAAAGACAATTTCTCATTTAAAAAATTGTAAAAATTCAAACACTAGTAATTTCCCTAAAAATCTTTTTTCGAAATCTAAATAATCACAAATTTTATATTTGGACGAATTAAAAAATAAATTTCCCCACAACCATAAATTTTTCTTTACCTTTCAAAGGCAGCTCATTATCATCAGATATATTCGATAGAATTAAATCATATATATATACTTATTATTATTATTTTCCTATACATATCTTCCAATACCTTGATTCTCTAGTAAGTTTATATCTCTTAATTCTATTTTTATCTTCACATACGTACACACATGCATACACGTACATATAAAATTGTTAACAAAGGCATCGAATAGATATGGTGTAAAAAAAAAATTGATTAACGCTCGCCTCCTCTAGTCGGGAAAATATTTTATCTGAGATAAAAGAAGAATTACGATAGCGTTTAACGGAGACGTTACGTAAGATTGTAGTTGAAAAAATTCTCGGAATATCTCGATGAAACAAATGTCCGTTTCTAACCGAACCCTTGACGTCTGCAAGCTCTGTGGGAACGGTTTATCCGAGACTTGAAATCGGTACCGAAGAAAAGCTTTGCTGGAAAAAAAGATTCCAATTTTACCGATCTAACAGCGAAACAACGATTTTCTAATCGTTTTCTATCGCTTTCAGAAAACGGGCTGTAACTTTCATCGGGGCTCGGTTATCGAAATACTGTTAACCGGACTTTCTATTTGACTGCTTCCAGTCGGACTTTCGATCGTCCGAACTTTCGTCCGACGTTACTTTCGAATAATCGATTGGCTATCTCGCTCGATTAATAGCAGGAAGTTTTTCGCCCGTTCGATTCAGATCGGAGACGCCTGGATCATCGATAATATCGCGTAAAATATGGATACTTCCGCGTCGATGAGAGATAACACCGCGAGCACACAACAAGTAACAGGAAAATTCGAGCTTTCTTAGATTCGAGTTTGCGTCAAGTTCCTACTCAGAGATAAGCCCGAGTTAAATTTAGCATGTATTAGATACGCGTTGTATTTTCCATGCAAACCGTGTACAGGTTATGTTACGTCCAACCAAAGCAGTTTCGCAGAAAATTTAACCTATCTCGGGACAAGAGATTGAATTACAACTTACAACTGAATTACCGACTTAAACCTAATTTATAAAATTGCATTATATTCGGTTACGCTAATTTCGCTTAAACCTAATTTGAAATTCGATTATATTCGGTTAAGCTAATTTGGTATTTAATACACGGCCCAGAAACGTATTTAATTATCGTATAACGCTACGTAGATAGACACCGCGCGTATCTCAAGATTAAACCGCGGATTTGATACAAATATTTCACGCAGATCCGTCTTGGGGAGGACAAAAGTCACCGAGGCTCGGCTTTCCATCGAATCTCGCTGGAAAACGTTATCCAAATCGCGGAGATGGTGATACGAGCGGCAGAGACGGGGCACAAAGGCTTCGCGGAATGATAGAAATAATAATTGGAACGGCGCGAGTTTCATTGACTCCCACGATTAACTTTCTGCTCTAATTAATTCACGTTTTCTACCGTGCAAATCGATGAAATGCGTTAGTTCCGTTACGAAACGCCAGGCCGCGGCCGCCATCTTGCTTTTCCTCTCGCGTGCCATCTTTCGTCGTTCGATTTAAGCAACACGGTTCCTCTCGGGCACGTGTCCGCTTCATTTACGTGTCTCTGTTCACGATTTATATTTTGCTTTCTCATTCGAAACCTGGTGAAATTATCTGGGGCCACGGCACTCGCCTAATCGCTTTGTTAAGCATATTTAATACGATAAGAGGTTAGATCATCTCCGGTCGAGGCATTCTCAAACGCCTGTTCCCCGATATCTAATTCGGATCGACGTTGCGTTTTATTTTTAACCTTCTCTCCTCTCTCCCTCTCCCCCTCTCTCTCTCTCTCTCTCTCTCTCTCTCTCTCTCTCTCTTCTCTCTCGTATCATTTTTACTTTTTCTCTGAAATTTTTTTTACGCGGGAGAATCGTCTCTCGGAGCAAACGTATGCTTCCTGGGAGTTAGGCAATCGGAGGAATCTCATTGGACGGAGATAAGGAAAGAAATTCGTGATCATGGTAATGTTGCTATAATAAAGTCGCGATAATGCGCGGGCTTAACTTTATCGTCGTGTTTCGTATCTAATTGAGAGCGGTTTAAGACGCGTTCGGGAATATTAAATTCAGCACGCGCGATTTTATTCGCGGCCGAAGGTGACAGGGACGCCATGCTTGATGCTCGCGAACTTATTTTCAAGTATCGTGTGATATATAGGCGATGATAAAGAAATTATTTCGGGACACGAGGAGTCACAACAGTGCGTGAAAATATTTCAGCGGACAGATTTCACGCGTTTCGTTATTACCGTTCCTTTTTTCACGCAAGATTAGGGGAATTTTAGATAATTTTTGACATAATCGAATGTAAATATAGGAGACAGTAAATGAATACTATAATATTTATCTAGTATGTTTCTTATTACTCTGTTTTTTATTTTTACTATTATTATTTATATATTCGAAAGTTGGACAGAAAAATGTATCTAAACTAGACAGAAAAAAGTAACTAGACTTTTGTACGTTGCAACGAATTTTAGTGAATTTTAGTGATTTTTTCAACGAATCCCAGTAACTTCTGACATAACAGAATGTAAATATAAAAGACACTAAATGAATGCTATAATATTTACGTCTAGTATGTTTCTTATCTCTCTCCAGTTTTATTTTCATTATTATTGTTATTATTATTTATATATTCAGAAGCTGGATAGGAGAATGTATGTGATTGTTGCGGTAGCCAGGCTTTTGTACGTTGCTTGTGCCATATTCAAGTAAACTTATCTCCATGGATTGAAGAATTCTTCAAATTATAATATTCCGAAGATCAGCACGGTGAATATTTAAATATTCAACTATTTTCCTCGTTACATTGCCGACGCAAATTTTAGTCGCGACATGAGCGCATAATTATGATTGCTCAAGGCGAGCGAGGATAAAATTTCTAGCTATTCCGACATACTCCAGTTTAGATCATTTTCGTTTAACCACCGAGATAAAGTGCGTAGATAAAAACGCCGGTTCGAAATTCGGTTTAAAAGCCAGCGAAATGGAGGAACTTAATGTCCGTAGAAAAACTCGGTCGAAAAGGAGAAAAAGAGAAAGGGAAAGCGTGGTGGAATCGTGTCAGTGCGATTTCATGATTTTGAAATCGTTTCCTAGACAACGATTGTCATTCCAGAAAAAAGTCCAGACAAGGTCGACGAAGGTAATTGCAAAATGGCCGTCGCATGGTTCCCAAGGTTCCACTATCGAATCAGGCTACGATCGTGACCTCGTGCAATGAAACGAAACAGACGGAAAAATGTGGCGCCGAATTCGAAATTTTTTGAATTCACGGTGTCGTCTATTTTTCTCTTTTATTCTTTATTTTTTGATTTTAGACAGGGTTTTTAATTCGAGTTTCATCGACGAGAGACTCTCAGCTAAGTATGCAATCATTCTCATCGTTCGTAATTACAGGTTGCAACAAACATTAGTGCTAATTATCCATTAATATTCCAAAGCACGGGAACGTAGATGGCTGAAAGATTATTCTCATCTGTAAGATTTTATTAAGAGGATCGTAATTTTCATACTATTGGTAGATCCTTGAAGCATCGTTTAAAATTTCCAATATTCGAAAAAAGAAAATAAATCTGTCGAGACATGTCCATTAAAATTCATCATGCATAGCTACAAATTACGAGCAATATTAATTCCACGTGGCAATTAGTATTTCAAAGTACGCAGCTGTGTCTATGCATAGTTGTAAATAAGTATTTTCGAATTAACATTCAAATTCCGTTTAAAGAATGCTAATTATCGACAGGTCGGCTAAATATCCTCAAAAATTTCTAAAATACCTCGAACAACGTTCGCTTTATTATTCGCAATCGACAACGGCAAAAAATATTAATTAAAACTAATTCATTGAATCATAACTGTACCTGGTTTAAAATTTCATTTACGAAAGGCAAATTTCCCTCACTCGATAACCTCCTCGCAACAAAGAATTCCAATATCCATAA